TATATATATATATGAAAATCAAAATTTCATAAATCGCCACAAACAAGAAATTACAAAATCAACTTTTGATTTCACCAACATTTAAATCAATTCCTAACAAACACAAAGAAGGCTCCGATACTACTGTTGGGAATCTACTTATACATGCACAGTGTAATTTAAAATAATTTTCGATTCCCACCAGGATTCGCTTTTGTGTTTATATAGAAATTGTGATAAGATTGTACCTTTTCCAGATCTGCAAATCTCTTTGCTATTCTTTTCGTTCCAGCAATCTTAATTCGTTATCCACAGTTCTCCAATTGTCCAGCCTCCAACGGTAATCCACACAGAGAATAAGATTGCAAATATCAAGGTTTTCTCTGTTGTACCAGCAGGAATAATGAAAACCATATGGACCTCAAACCCTAACTATTTATTTATATAAACCCAAACGGGCTCGGTCCGGTTCGGTCCAATATTTAATTAATCCATTTAATTAAACTCGGTCCGTGAATTAATTAATCCAATTAATTAATTCGACAATATAAATAACAAATCCAATTAATTAATTTATCCAACGATTGTTAAATTAATTAATTGACAAATTGCAATTTTTCAATTATCTTTTGTGTGTGACCCATCAGGTTCTCGATCACGATACCTAACGACGTGAAATATTATTTTGATCTAATCAAAATTGATAAATTAAAACACCTTTTTAATTTATCATCAATTCACACTCGTCGTCCCAAATTGACATCTAGCAATGTGTCAGAGCAATACATGTGACGGAAAATGTCACGTGGTATGACAAAACCAAACTCGTTCGTTTACCGTGAAACTATAATCCCTTCGTCAATATGATCCGATTAACTACGAGATTTGAAAGTGTGTCAATCTCGAATGTCGATCATATCTTTCACTCCAATATTAAGTCAATATAAGTCAAAAACTACTTTTCGACTTATGAGTACACCTTGACCAAGGATTTCATCATTGACTTAATTGAATGAAACACAGATCAGAATCTCCTACTATCTAAGAGTGACGAATCCTTTATTGATCAATCACAACCTTCATACGATTCTTGACGTATCCGAACGATGTCGTATTAGCAGCCCTTTTTAGAGTAATATCCAATATCGCCAAAGTATGACTGTTCTCATATAAGGTACATGACGACCTCAAGTCAAAAGACCAATTCCACCACCGAATATTAGAGATTAACCACTGACACTCAGATAGTTATCCATGTGGAATCTCACGACGGGTCTCCAATGTTTTGTTTTATAACAAAATATCCACGTGTTCATTTAAGTGTCACTATACTTTAGTTTGTGAGATCAGCTACTTACTTCACAAGTAAGAAATGCCACACGTGATGGTCTATCCGTAATAACGATATCCGTATCTCGTTATCACTTACGACCACGGACGATTTAAGATTCAATCAGATGTAATTTGTATTTCACAATTACAACTCTTTGTGATTGACAAATTACGAAGATTTGAATCTACGAATTCTATTATTTATTTAATCGTTTATTAATTAAATAATAGATCTGTCATTAAATTATATTAATCATATATCAAAAATATTTATGTTCAAAATTGATTGAATCTAGGGAAGAGGCCATCCATATCACAAGTTGCATATGGACGATAGTTGTGTTACTGCGAGCATAATGAATTGTTCGCTTTTATAGTCAGATTCAGGCGTGAAGCTTAAGGAACTGGTACAAGAATGCAATTAATTAATTAATTTATTTATCATCATCATCATCATCATCATCATCATCATCATCATCATCATTTAAGTAAGGGAAGATATGAAGACTAACTTCGTTCAAGTAATCTTTACCAGCGAAGTCTTCAATAAATTTCTGACAAATGTTTCCATTGGTAATATCTTAAAATAATAATTTCATAAATTTAATTTACTGACTGCCTATAAATATATACTATCGATTTAAAAGTCCGCCCTTAAAAAATAAAATATGAATTAAAACTGCCGACATAACCATACATCGATGATAACTTAAAAATTTTATCTTATAAAGATTGCTTTATGTAAAATTTTTTGTCGATTTATTAAAATAAAACAAAATTATATTGAAATAAGATTTCAGTAATTATATAATAATTAAAACTATGATGGATTTTTTTTCTTAGTAATATTAAAATATAAATGATTGCAATGTATAGTTTACCAACGGAATCCATTAGGGACTTGAAAGTGAAATCTTTCTTTTTAGTAAATAATATAATGCAAAAAAAAAAAAAAACCTACAACAAAAAAATTCCATGTTAAATATTTAAAAAAAAAATCATTCATATGTTTTGACGGTAAGAAATCATCCTAATTAATAAAATAATGAATAAAATAATTGACGACTTTTCTGACTTGCTTAGTTGTTGCAATCATTGCTCAAGGGATAACTAATGGTCACCATAAATAATCGTTCTTTTGAAGTGTCGGTGGTGATTACAACACTATACCCTATAACATTATAGATGTAGTCAAAAGTCGATGGTTAATGTTTGATTTTTTTTTCTTTTTTTGCTTGACTTATTAGAAAACATCTATTTACGCTACTTAGGGATGCGTTTAATAATAATATTGGAATAATACTACACGAGAAGTAAATGAAATTTTAAAATTTCATTCTACCAATTAAATTTCAAAATATATGCCCTTAGATTATATTATTGAAAAAGAAAGATCTTATTGTATGTACATCAAATCTAATCTTACATAATGAGTTACATAATATCACACGTCAGTGAACTTTTTCATTTAATTATTTCACTATACAAAATTTTCTGGCACACTTTATGAATGTCATTTTTTGAATAAATAGCATAATCCCGAAAAGTATATTAAAAAAAGAAAAAGCACCCGTTGACAACTTATTATCCTTTGCATTTGGTTGAATTGATTCCATTTTAAGTGTATAATTACAATTTATATTAAATAGAAAATAATTTAGTGAATAAGTAGTACTATATGTATTATAACTATAATTAATTTGCATAAGGGAATGTTTAATAGGTTGAATATTACCTAATCACAGGTGGGCCCAAACATGAATTATAAAAATAATTCTTTTCCAAATAAGTTAAAAAGAATAAAGCAAGAACTTATTGGCATTTGCACCGTTGATTAGCTCAAGTTAAAATACACTTAAGCCAAGTCTACCCAAATACGGCGCCGTGTCATTCATCGAAATTGAAATAAAAAAAGGTACCTTATTTTGGTAGACTTGTCGGACGTTGAAAGTTCATACAGGCCACAAAATTAAAAACTACAACTTTTTTGTCCTCTTTTTTTCAATCACTTTACTTTCTTCCAAAAGAAAGGGTTAGAAAACCGCCAACGCCGTTTGAAAGCCGTGAAGATAAATATCACTTGGAAAAAGAAGTTGCGTCTTTAACGGACGCTTCTCCAGCACCGTTACCGCCAATTGCGGCTGATTGGACGGTCAAAACTGACATGCTAGGTGAAGTGGGCCCGCCGTGCTCACCGCTTAGTAGCGGATTTTTGCTAGTGTTGAGGTTGTTGGTGGCGGCTAAAGGGTTCCTGGAGTGACACGTGGCAGCGGAGATGGCTGTGGCTAACGAGATTGGCATGAGGCATAGCCCTTTCCCTTGGAGATACTGCATGGCGGTGCCCATATCCTCTTCCATCAACTTTGCCACCTGATTTTCCGTCACCGTCACGGTCTCGTTGTTGTTGGATGATGACGCCGTTTGTGTTCCGTTACTGCTCCTTCTCTGTACATATAAGTAATTGATTAAACGTTTATATTATGAATTTCTGATATTTTTTACACGTAAATACCAAAAATTTGAAAAGAGAGAGGAAAAGGAGTTTCGGTTGGCAAGGTGGAATCTGGAAAGTAACCACGCGTGTTACTTTATTGTTTTGTCGTTTATGGGTAAGGGCGATTATTGAGGGGACAAGGAAGAATCGTGGGGTTGGTGATGTTTGGTTTGATCAAAATTTGTCTAATGCCCTCTCCGACTATATAAAAATAAATCTTGATTTTTTTAGCGTTTCGAGCGGGCACGGGTCAATTTCGAAACATAAATGACATATCGACTCTTGTACATTTCCATGTTCAATAGTGTGACTAACCTCAGAAGACATATCAGCTACGAAAGGGGCAACAGCTGTGGCACCGCCCAATCGACTCATGCTAAGAACCTAAACAGATAAAAATCAACGGAATTTCAATTACATGGCCCTCAAACTGATCAAATGTCGTCTTCTCCATAACAATTTGTCAACCAAAAAGAATCCCACTAAAAATATCTAAATCGAATTTATAAAAAAAAAAAGCCACTGTATATTAAAGTAGAGAGAGGAACAGATTACTTTGACTTGGAGCTGGAGGAATTTTACATAATCTATGATCTCATCAAGCATCGAAGCCTTGTCCGTCTGTCATTCCAATTTCCCCACACCACATGTGATTTAATATTAATTATCAATAATAAATATTAATTAATAAATAAATAAATAAAAATGAGGGTGTTGTGAAATTACCTTATTAGCATTGGGTACAAGCTCCTGCAAAGCCTTCATTCTCTCCGCGATTCTCTCTCTACGTAACTGCTCCATCCACATTTCATTTTCGGCAAAAAAGCAACAAATATTCAAGAATCACAAACTCACTCAAGAGAAGATGACAAAAATGCTTGAATCAATAGAAAAACTATTCAGAAGAAACAAAATAATTGTAGCTGCTTTTGTACTATATTATCGTACGTACTCTTTCAGCGATGCTGTGAGGGTCTGTGGCCTGTCCTCTTCTTGCTCTAACCCTCTGCCTAGCCTGCGCCGGAGTCCCTCCGCCGGTTGAACCACTTGCCGCTGGCTGATTCATCCCAGGAACTGCTGATGCACCAAAATTCTGTGCCTGCATCGCTCCATATTGTGCATACTCGAATTGAAATTTGCATAAAATGTAGCAAAACTTAAATAAGTGATGCGTGTATATAAAAACCTGAGGGTGGTGGAAATGCTGAGATTGGTTTGCAGTTTGACCAAGAGTTCCAGTGAAACCGTTGAATAAACCTTGCACTGATGCATCATCGGCCTGTATTGTGATTAAATTACGAGAATAATTAGTCAATAAACAAAAAAATTATAATGTTTCTTCGTCTTTTTTGAGAGAAACGAAAAAGATTTAAAGAAGGTAAAAAACTGACCGGATTAGTAGATTGGAAGGACCCATCAACGACGTCGGCGTGGTCGCCATTAGTAAGATTTAAAGGTATCTGTAGAAGACCACTCTCGCCGCCGGAGGCCCCAGATGGCGTCCGGAGCCCGTTCCCGGTGAGTCCTCTGGACAGCAACAACTGCTGCTGGAGCATCAAGGCCTTGGCTGCGCCGCTGCTGATCTGGTGCTGCCTCAGCTTTGAAATCAACTGCGCCGACTGGTCATCAAATTGGCTAAGAAGAGTGGAAGGCAGCGCGTGGTCGGCTCGAGCCGCATCGGAGGACACATCCCAGTTAAAACTGGAGTTCGAAGATGGAATAGACGACATCATTTGGTCGAGGAAATCATCATGAGACGACGTGGGATCGAAGTGGGATGACATCTGGGGTTGACCATTTTGATGATTATTCATTTCTTGGAGTGATTGTTCTTGGTTTAACAAAGAATTGATGTTCATGGCTTCCAATTCTCTACCACCGGGTTGCATACCTTAAATTTCACAAAATGAAAACAAAATATCAATGGTTTTTATAAGCATTTCGTATGAGAATCATGATTGGAGTTTTGGGAAATTTCAGAATGTTCATTGAAATGAGTAGCAATAAATAGCCAAACAAACTGGCTATTTTTATGTAACCTATACATACATATACATACACAGTTCTCTCTCTTAATTAACCTGGGATTATATAAATTATGAGGCTTAAGTATATATATAAAGGGTATAGGCGTGGAATTAGCTGATTGGTTGGCCGTTTTTCACTGTGAGCGATGAGTGTGTGCGCAAAAACCTAGCTAGGTCTTTTGGTCGTTTTCAACCCTTTGTATGAAATGTCAAAAATGCCCCCTATTCTTCTGACGCGGTTTATCCTACAATAAATTATCACAACGGGAAATTTTTTAAATCCCGCATAAGAATTTTATTTCTCAAATTAATTTTAAGATAGTTTTGTTTTTAAATTTAGGAAAAATTGCAGCAATAGTCCCTAATCTTTTCAATTTGTACAAATTTTATCATAACCTTCAATTTGTTCCAACTAACTAATACTCCTTACCTTTCGTAAATATGCAGTTGAGGTCTCCTTTTGACTGTTAATTGACCAAGATTTTGCAAAAAAAAAAAAAAAATGATACTTTGACCAATTTAAGTAGAGGCATTTTTGTCCGAAATACAGAAACCTGTGAACATTCTTTCCCAGGATACACACACACAGTGGGCCCATCGCAAATTTTTTTTATTACATGTGAGGCCCGCCTGCTACAGTGAAGGACCTAACAAGCCCCTGTGAAATCGATCCCTATACTCAGGGATTAATCCTTTTCGTCCATATCAAATTATCCATTTGATTTAAGAGCAACAATTAAACTATAAAATAATAATAATAATAATGAATTTGCCCCACCCTATTTTCACATTCTTTTCCCAAACCAAACAATAATCCAATCATCAAATATTTCTCCCCCAAATTGTTGTCGTTGTCGCCTTCCTCGTCGGACTACCATCACCTTCCTCCACCATCCCGTCATCAAATCTTGGTCAATTTTCCTCTCCCAACAATCCGTCAAATCCCTAAAAATTCAACCCATCATTAGAAATTTTGAAGTCCTGAAAATCCAACCCATCTCTATCTTTTGATTTGATGATGTTCCACCATGAATATGCTCGCCTAGAGTGGGTGAGGCTTGATCATGGGGTTAAGCTGTGCAACTCCTTTTGGCTTTTCATTTTCATTTTGATCTTCTTGTGTTGTTTGTCCAATTACTTGTGTGGGATGTGTACGTGGATTGAGGCTGTCAGCTACGAAAGAAATTTTGACGAATTCGTGGCCATGGTTTTCTTGGATTTAGGTGGCCGCGCGAAATTTCTACAATTTTCCCCAATAGAAAAGCTGGGTTTGATGGTGATACTGATGATTTTGGTTTGATTGTTGTGGTGGTGGTAGTTTAAGCTTTACGATGAGATAGGTTGCTATGACCAATTGACTGGCCAACGGATTTGAGTTTTTTTGGGTTCAATTTTGAAGAAGATAACCTTTTGGTTTTGTTTTTTGATTTAATTATCCCTTATTATATAATTTTAATTATATTGTAAAATATAAGTTGTCATGAAATTAACGAAAATGACCTAGCTTAATATGGTTAAAATATCAATTTTTTGCAAAATCTTGGTCAATGCATTGGACCTCAGCTGCATATTTACGGAAGGTTGGGGCCTTTGTTGACACAAATTAAAGGTTAGAATGTCTACAAAATTTGAAAGGTTTAGGAACTATTGCTGCAATTTTCCCGTAAATTTATGAAATATTGCTCATGCAAAGTTTTTACGATTGTTCATGATTAACATTGACATGGTAATTATATATCAACTTAAAAGAAATATAGTCGAATAACATTGTTTTACCAGCTCAAATATTGTTAAAGAAGGGACTTCATTGAGTAAGATTTTGTAGTGAATACATAGAAAATTCTTAGCCCGGTCTTTCTTGTTGAATATTTGCTTCATTATATAGGCTTCATGAACAGAGACTTGTCGCCCTCTGTCATCGTTAAGTTACATTATTTATCTTCAAATTGAATACCATCACCCCCATTGAATGGATTTACACGGTCGACATGATTGATTAGATCACCATTATGATCTTGGGTCGTAGTTTGTAGTCTAGGTCATCTTTGTGTGCAATCTAGACAATCATTACTTTCTTTTGATTTGGAGAACCTGGTGTATTGATGTTAGAAGTAACATTATTTCACCTTTGATTGGTAGTCATTGGAGATGCTGTCATTGAGGAACATTCCCTAAGTTTACTCGTGATGACGTTTCTAAATGGTAGTGACTTTTGGCCATTCTAATAAGTGACGTCACGTGGTCCGACCTCTTTAAAATCAAGGTTTTTTCATAATTAATTTTCTATAATTACTCTTAAGCGAGTTCACGCTCTATCTGAGATGGCCCTTTATGATCGGACAAAAACGAGTATTTATTGTGTACATAATTATTTACATATTGATGTTTAGAGAAAGAGAAATTTGGAAGAGAGATAAAAAGGTGAGATTGAAATTGGGTAAATTTTAGTATAATGTAATATGATCAATCTGTAGATTAATTCGTAAATAATTATGTAAAAATAGAAATTTTTATTTATTTTCACCGGTGTATATATTCTTTGCAAAACCCTAAATGTTTATTTTTGGGGAAATGGATTGATTTGTATTTCAAAATTAAATATATTTAAGGATTAGGCAAATATTAAATAATGAAGGGTGCTAATCTTATTTGAGATGTCGTGTCTAAACTCTCAACTCTTGTGCCCCCAACCACATTCCTTCAATCTTTATAATATAAAAATACTTACTTATGTGTTTCGTATACAACGGATTAAAAAATTTTAATTTTTTCGGTGGTTTTAGATTAGGTTTTCCACTAGTTTTATTTTAACATGTTTAGGACTCAGTATTAACAAATTAAATAATATACTAAAAAGAAATTTTAAAATTATTCTTTTTCAAATATTACGTCATAAATATATCAAGTCCTTATTTGCTTCCACTAAAATGTTAAATTAAATTTTCTGTCAAAGTTAACAATTAATTTTAAACACACATTTCATAGAAGTTCAACTTCCAATCACTCGTTTCATCCACTTTTATCAAAATATATTAAAATTTTAATTTTTTTTTATGTAAACCGAACAGGCTCCAAATATATTTTTATCCTAAATTGTGGCTCCAAATCCGTTGAGTTAGTTTGGATGACTATACCAAATTATTTTTGAATTTTGGGTAATTATACTAATAAGAAAGTTAAACGGGGCAGCAATTTTGAGGTTTTTTTTAAAAAAATAAATAAATTTTGTAGCTAAAAATACTCTCTTACTGTTACCAAGATAATTTCACTTTATTTCAATCAACTCTATTTACATGGGATTATTTAGAAGATTGAAATACTAATGTGATGATAGTATATGTTCAGATTATATTTACCTATGACATGTTAATTATCCTTTTTAAAATTGTCAAACGTTTGACTTTTAATTAACACTCATAGATCTTTATAACGCACATTTATTGAAAAGTTTGAAACGTACTCGATAGGATTTAAAAGTTTAAGATCATGCTGCAAATTTTCTTTATTATTATTTTTCTTGTTTAAGACCTGATAGTTGAGACATGAAGAGACTTAACGTAATTGATTAGATGCAATATTTTAACTTAAGAATTATGTCAATTCTTATATTATATCGAATCATTTCGTCTAAAAATCTTTAAGGTAGTATTTGATTGGATCATTTTCTACAGGGACTGTGGGGTCAAAAATGAAATTTTTTTCGAACAACGTATGATTAACGAAAATAAGTTCATAGGATTAATGGATTGGAGTGGATAATTAATTGGAATTTGGAACCCCAAACCCAAATAACCGTTTCAGCAGCAGAAAATTTTAAAAAAAAATGGAAAAAAAAACTGTGGGGTCATTTGACCCCATGTGGGTCCGCCCCTGATTTTCTATGGAAAATGGAATAAGTTTTCCATCTTTTACTCAATTAATGATGTTTGATACCATTTATTTTCCATGGAGTTGGTTTTGCTTTTGTTGCCACAGATATTTTCCATCTAATTGAGGAAAATGAATTTTCTCGGTTACTGTAGCAATTATTTATTTATTTATTTGTGGCAATAGAAATAAATTCTAAGAATTATTGTAAAAAAAAAATTTCCTTTAATTGACAATTTTCATATAAAACAAAACCAAGCAAACACTAAAAAATAGATGATTTTCTTGGGTTTTTTGTCTTTTTTTTGGCAATAGAAACAAATTCTATCCTCAATACTAGTAAATTTTATCTCTTTAATTGACAATTTTCATGTAAAACAAAATTAAACAAACACTAAAAAATACTTTTATTTTAACATTTTTTCATGTGGAAAATTATATCAATAAAAAACAATAAATTGATAATTATCAGGAAAATAATTTCTAGACAATTCAATTCCCTGAAATTCATTTTCTTTTCACCCAAATTCCATCTTTGTAATCAAACAGACCCTAAATGTAAAAGATCAAACGGACATACAATCATTTCTTTAACATTACTAAAGCACATTGTAAAGAAATCAAACAATACTAAAGGAAAAATATGTTAAGACATAACGTCGATCGTATTTTTTTTTCGTATTCTTATATTATCCTACCCAACTGTCACACAATTATTGACTTGTATTCGCTATACTTCAGTTATGATAGGATTAGGTGGCAATAGAAATAAATTCTAAGAATTATTGTAAAAAAAAAAAATTCCTTTAATTGACAATTTTCATATAAAACAAAACCAAGCAAACACTAAAAAATAGATGATTTTCTTGGGTTTTTTGTCTTTTTTTTGGCAATAGAAACAAATTCTATCCTCAATACTAGTAAATTTTATCTCTTTAATTGATAATTTTCATGTAAAACAAAATTAAACAAACACTAAAAAATACTTTTATTTTAACATTTTTTCATGTGGAAAAATTATATCAATAAAAAACAATAAATTGATAATTATCAGGAAAACAATTTCTAGACAATTCAATTTCCTGAAATTCATTTTCTTTTCACCCAAATTCTATTTTTGTAATCAAACAGACCCTAAATGTAAAAGATCGAACGAACATACAATCATTTCTTTAACATTACTAAAGCACATTGTAAAG